CTTTGAATTATTTTTTCAATACATTTTGAATCACCTCAATCGAATATTTATAGAAAATTTTATGTTCAAAATACCGAAAGATGTACAGGGATGAACTAAAGCAACATGCGCACGTTCAGTACACTATTTTCCCCAATCGAGAGACGTTTGGCTCTACGATGCATGTAGTGGCCATTTTCGTAGATGAATCAACAGTTTCTATTTGCGATTCAAACTCTTTTGGAACCCAAATTAGATGCAATTTTGACCTATTTTCTGGCTGTTATAAATAGAGGACGAGAGCTACACATTAGAAAACCTCTTCTGCATCTTCATACATAATAGCATCATAAAATTTATCAAGAACAAGATGTCAATTACTATATTTTGAGAAAAGAGATTGATATTTATATATTAACATGCTAGACTAGATCATTTTTGTATTGGATGAAAATGAATCATATTGTTTATTTGTTTTAATTCAAAACTAGTTATTAAGTTTATTTCTTGCGCTTCTTGATTAATTTTGCATGCCCATTGTATCATTTAATTGATTAGTCACCCATTAGATAATTAATTGTTTGTTGTAGTGTTGGGAAACTCGCAATAAATTTAGAACACAGCAAAATTAATATATGTGCAATAAATTGTAGGAATAGCATTTATCACGTGTGCAATCATATGAATAATCTAAACTTTAGGCCCTGTTTGGGAGGAATTAAATTTTTCTACAGTAAATCAATTCTCATTTTCAACCACACATTTTTCAATAAAATAATATTTTCTACCACATCAATAAGTTTTTCTTATTTTTCAACTACACATTTCCTATCATATCACTATTCAAAAATCAATTCTTCCCCCAAAAATCCCTACCAAAATTAAGTTACTTTTTGAATAGACTTACTTTTATTTAAAATTTTGCCGAACATGCTCTTAATGTGCTCTCCCAAACAAGCTCTTAATGTATTCTAATTATTCGAATTCGGGTTAGGAATATATTCGGGTCATGGTTATGATAGACTTAATTTGTCTTAGAAAAAATTATATAAATCATAGTTTTATCGATTGTCAAAAATGTATGAACGGAACTAGATTACAAATAAAAAACTGAAATAGATAGTAATAGGAGAATTCGAAATCCAATACAATCATCTATAATTTGATGCAAAACACTTTTTACCTCTTTCTTAAATAATTTAGTATGAAATCAAATCAAAATTTCTATTTTCTTTGCACAATTCGAATTCCAAATCTAAGTAGTAAATTTGAATTGAATTTATTCCACGTGGCACGATAAATGTTAACTCATCAATTCTATTACTTATCAACAATTATGTACAATTGCAGGTTTCGCACAAACAATGGACAAGGATGTTGTGGGCTTGTGGCACAATTTTTTTAGGCGGGTGTGGAGCTCTAAATGGCATTTTCATTTACTTCGCGGTCCTTTTCTTTTCTTACTTTTGTTTTTTATGATTATATTCACTCCATATTTTTTTATAAATGCACCACATTTTAATTATATTAAAGTCATTAACCTTTAGTCATTATCACACTTATATCCTTAATTTTTTATTTATCACACTTCTATTTTTAATATATCATTGATTAAAAAATATTGTCTTTAATCATGATTTTCATCCAAAAATATTGTTAACGTACTCTAAAATAAATGTCAAATATTTAATCTTATTTTTACATTATTATTTGTTTTGCTTATTTAAAAATATAATAAGCAAATAAGTCTCTTTACCATCTTATAATTTGAGAATAAAAATGAAATGGGGAAAAGTTTGAACACATAAATATGATAATGTGTAAAGGTTTATGAATATTTTATGCAATTAAAATGTTGTCTGGCTATTAAAAACTGTTGCATGAATAATATAGCCTTTATTTTTGGATAATTATATTTTTTCTTACACCAAATTTTAATTGTACTTAAAAGATTTTTAATCTTTCTACATTATAGCACCTATATTCCTAAGGATTTTTCATGTCATTCTTTTCCTCAAACTTTTCATTAATTAACACATTTTGTATTTAATAGCAGTCATATGTCCAAAGGTATAATAAAATGACGTAAAATAACTTATTTTTATCTTATTTTTTAAAAAATAAATAATTAAAAAGTATGATAAAATATTTTCCCCCAATTTCAAAGCATGAAAATAAAATATTTTAATATAAATTATCATTAAGGAAGAGATATACAAATTACTGAAAAGTTGAAAAAAAAATTCAACGGAAAAAAAAGTTAAAAAGAAATAATTACTACAATATACAAAGATTGAGGAGTATAAATGCAATTAAAATATGGTGTATTAAATAAAAATTGTGATGGCAATATAATCAGCACTTATTTTTTTTTCTCTATTCTTTTAAATGATGATGGATAGACAATTTTGCCCTCCAAAAAAGTGGACAAGTTCAATTAATAGATTCTTAGACGAATTCCAACCAGAAGTCTTCACGCTACATATTCTTCCAAACTTTTGAAATGACAGTGTCAAAAAAGTAAAGTTTCACAAACCATCTACACTTTTTTAGAAAGTTGGGGACTCTGCTGCAATTTTCACTTTTTGTTGTAAGTCTTGTTTGTACAGCGTTGTTTGTTGGCGTGTCAATTCTCAGCAACTTGTTAGAAATGTTCCACATTACAAGTTATCTATTTTCTTCCCTGAAATTGTCAAAACAATCCAAGTGGAAGAATGACGAAAATTCGAAAGCCAAAGCGTCAATGGGAAGGTTCTCGAAAATTGACTCAGTTTATATTATGACTTAAAAAATTGTCAGACATCTTTGGTGACGAAATGTAAGCTAAAAAGTCATATTCAGCCCTTGTTTGATCCGCATTATTTTTCTCATTCGCATTCTTCTACTTATTTTCAACCTCACATTCTTCAATAAAATAATATTTTCGATCACATCAATAATTTTTCCTTCTTTTTCAACAACATATTCTCATCACATCAACAGTAAAAATGCATTCTTACTCTCAAAATGTGCATCAAACATGGGCTCATTATCCTGTTCCAAGTAGCACGATTTGGGTCCTTAAGGTAAAAATTGAAGTTTTGAATCCCAACTTATTTAAATATTTAATATGAAACCGTCAATGTAGAAGTCAAAAATGCACGTCGCTTAAAGTTATAGCATCTTCAAGAAGCTTAAACTCATTCTCTATAATTAAATGCATTTAAAGCGTTTCTATTCATAGACGTTAAAATCACATGCGAATTTCACATGATTCATACTTAGAAAGCAAAATCATCTAACCACTTAATATTTATCTCTCATTCAATTAAAAGTCGTGTGTAATGTCTAAACTAATGATTTTCGTTATATAAAAATTCAAATTGACATATTTATTTAAGTTGAGGATTCGCACCGAAAAGTTGGAGGGTTGAGCTCTAATTCAATTCTGAAAAATTAAGGTAGAAATGTGTTGGAAAAGTCGCATTTTCTTGGCAGCTTCTTATAGCAGATACGATAGAATAACAAGAAGCATAATAATAAATGGTTTATAGGCACAAAACGTTCTTATGTTTGGTTTTTAGTGTGCAAAACGTCAATACATTTCAAATTTTTACATTTACTTCCCTATTTTTACATTTCATTGTGGAAAACGTTATTTTTATTAATTTTTACCTAAATTCTCAATTATAAAACGTGAAATGACAAATATAGCATTCTATTTAAATAAGACAAAAAAAGAAAAATAAAGAATTAATTGCAACCATACTCTCAAACTTTTTTAAAATATGCAAATGAATCCCAAATAAATTATTGAAAAATTCAAAAAAAAAAAAAAAGGCTCTCTCTCACTCCCTTTCTCCTCTACCACCACCATGGAAGACCACCAATTCCTCCCAAATCCATCGTGTTGCTGCCATCAAAACCATCGGAATTTCACCCCTCCATCGGCACCAATACTCCATCAATCTATCAAAACCAACAATTACACAAACAACCACAAATTCATTCAAAATCAACCCCAAATACACCAAGAACCGCACGCCCAAGTTTGACTCCAGGATGTAATCAATTGGTGAATAATTTGGATCAATGGATGCTTACCCATTGAACTATGAACTTGGTTTCAAATGCCATGGATGAATTAGTATAACAAAGAATGGTGTATCCATGAATTGGAGAAAGCAGGTTGTTCGAGTTGAGTGGGCTGTTTGTGGTCGAAATAGGATTAATTTGGCTATTAATTGTGGCAATTAAATTCACACCCCACTGTTTTGTGATGTTGACAAGGATTAATATGTAGCAAATTATGTGAATCAATACCCTCAAAACCTATAAATTAAAAGAGGCACACTAGCCATGTTTCTATGCACAACAAGAGGGAAAATTCCAAGGCATATCATCATCATATTGTACTGTTTTATGTTGTTTCTCCATGAGTATGGGCAACTAGATGAGGTGGATTGACCGGCAATAATGGACGACCTGGGTAATGATGGAATGGTCGGAATTGGCGAAAAAGCCATGCAGTTCTAAGTGTATTTGGGGATGATTTTGAGTTGAATTTGTGGCTGTTTGTGTAATTGTTTGGTTGTGATTGATTGAATGAGTATTGGCGCTGGTGAAAGGGTGAGATTCCGATGGTTTTGACTATAGCAACACGGTGGATTTGGGATGACTTGGTGATAGCTCCATGGTGGTGGTAGTGAAGGAGGGAGGGAGGGAGAGAGGGCATTTATTTTTTTGAATTTTTTAATAATTTCTTTGGGATTCATTTGTAATTTTTTAAAAAGGTTTGGTGAAAGAGTTGCAATTAATTTTTTTTTTTTAATTTTAAACAAGAGGGTATATTTGTCAATCTACGTTTTTTAATTGAAAAATTGATGATGAAGACGTTTTCTACGATGCAATTTGGAATAAGGGTGCAAACAAATCACCAAACAAATGTTTTGTGCCAATAAGCCGTAACTGATAAACCTCTCTATTCAGTATTTGACTATTTTCCCTTGAATCATATTGGTTCGACGGTGAATCAATCGTTAATGGACCCTAATCGAATCATGTCCTCCTCTTTTCCTCTTCTCTTCTTGATTCTTCTCTGTATCAGTTCAACTGCCGTCGGTGAGATCCGTTTCTCCGAGATCCGATCCGACGACCGGCCGATTATCCCCTTCGATGAGTTCGGATTCACCCACCGCGGCCAGCTTGAGCTCAACGTTACTAAAATTTCCCTGGTCGGCCCCAATTCCGATTCCTCCACCCTAGACCTCTCCAAAGTCGGATTCTTTCTCTGTACCCGGGACGCCTGTATCCACGTACTCCAGCAAATTGAAGACGCCGAGATCACCTGCACGCTGCTATCTGACTCCATCCACAAGGTCTTCACCTTCGATCGTCTCCCAAACCCTAACACAGACAGTTTCAATTTCTTGTACCCGGAATCCAATGCCGATCAGTACACACTTGTATTCGCCAATTGCCTTCCGCAACTCAAGGTCTCGATGAAAGTCCGCTCCGCCATGTACAACCTGGAAAACGGCAAGTCTAATAGCCGGGATTATCTTAGCGCTGGAAAGACAATTTTACCACGGGTTTATTTCCTGTTTTTTATTGTGTATTTTGTTCTGGCTGCTGTTTGGATTAATATTTTGTACAAGAAGAGATTGACGGCCTTTAGAATTCATTTCTTTATGCTTGCGGTTGTGATCTTGAAAGCCTTCAATTTACTGTGTGAGGCGGAGGATAAGTCTTATATTAAGCGAACTGGATCTGCTCATGGCTGGGATGTGTTATTTTACATATTTAGCTTCTTGAAGGGGATTACTTTGTTCACTTTGATTGTGTTGATTGGGACTGGATGGTCGATCTTGAAGCCATATTTGCAAGATAAAGAAAAGAAGGTTTTGATTATTGTGATCCCACTTCAGGTGATTGCCAATATAGCTCAAGTTGTGATTGATGAGACTGGACCATATGGTCAAGATTGGATGACATGGAAACAAGTTTTCCTGCTTGTTGATGTTGTTTGCTGTTGTGCGGTGCTTTTCCCAATCGTTTGGTCTATCAAGAACTTGCGGGAAGCGGCAAGGACTGATGGAAAAGCTGCAGTGAACTTGATGAAGTTGACTTTGTTTAGACACTACTACATTGTGGTGATATGCTACATTTACTTTACAAGGGTTGTGGTTTATGCATTGGAGACGATTACTTCTTATAAGTATCTTTGGACTAGTGTGGTGGCAGGGGAGTTGGCTACACTGGCATTCTATGTGTTCACAGGGTACAAATTCAAGCCGGAGGCACACAATCCATATTTCGTGATCGATGATGAAGAGGAGGAGGCTGCAGCCGAGCAATTGAAGTTGGAAGATGAGTTTGAACTGTGAGCTGCCTATGTTTTGAGAATATCATATATGCATGATCAAATTGGAGAAGATTGATGTAGTTGTTGATCGTTTTAAACAAGTTGTCTAGGACATTTCCTCTTTATATGTGGCTAAATTTTTCTGTGCATGTAGTCCTTGAGTTAGTTGTGCGAAGATAGCATATTTTTGTGAAAATGGAAAATAATGCTATGAGATTAAGATCCCATGGCTTAGTTTATTCATATGGAATTGGTTCGCTTCTGGTTTTTATCTGGTGTGTTCAGATTGATGAATAACTTAGTGGTGTCAAAATGTTTTGTATGTGCAAATGCTTGAGGGGTGAATGCATAGATTTGATTGTGAAAGGAAAATTTGTAGCTCGATGAGGGGCACTCCTATATTTGTTTGTTTGGAAGTAACCCATAATAAGAGTAATGCTATTTAGCAACGATTTAGGTTGCATTACTTGTATCGTTAAATTATAATTTCAATTAAATATAAGAATTTATGACTTATTTAATACTCTCTCTGTCTCATTTATGTAGATTGGCTTTCCTTATTTTCTTGGGCCAATTACATAGTCATGTTTCTTAATTGAGAATGTTTTGTTCGTTTACTAATAGAGTAATGTTATTCATTCCCAGTGGGGTTACAAACACAGTCTAGGTGGCTCTATATGATAGGTGAAATTACTTATTTAATTTCACATTTCATTTAACCTATCATTTAGAGTCACATAGACTGTATTTGTAACCCCAATGAGGATGAATAGCATTACTCTTACTAATATACATTTATTTAATTTGCCTAGTTATGATCAATTTTTCCCAATTTACTATTAGTTGGTGATAATTAAATAAGAGTAAATTATGAAAGTTTTTGACAAAAATTGTTTTTTCAATAAAATTAATTAAGATTTCTTAATTCGTATGAAAAACAAAATCAGTTTATATAAATAGGATGGAGGGAGTAGGACTTATGATATGTTGACTACTAGGTTGGTCTTCAACTCCAATGATACATAGCATTTTCAATCTGTAATTATCTGGCTTTGCAATGAATAGCCATGAAGGTTGTGGGTTGCCTATGTATGTTGGCATTTCAAGTTTTAGCTCTTGTTTGGACTCGATTTTAATGAGATTTTGAGAAAATGTATTTTGGAATAGTAATTTTTTGGAGAATGTGGTTAAAAATTAAGGAAAAATTGGGTTTATGTGTAATCTTATTATTAAACAATGTATGATTGAAAAGAAAAATACATTAAAATTTTAACGGAGTCCAAACGTGGGCTTAGTCTGCTCAAGTTGTTTTAGCCCATGTTTGACGACCATTATTTCAAGGGAAGAATACATAAATCCTCATTACTTGTATCGTTAAATTATAAGTTCAATTAAATATAAGAATTTATGACTTATTTAATACTCTCCCTGTCTCATTTATGTAGATTGGCTTTCCTTATTTTCTTGGGCCAATTACATAGTCATGTTTCTTAATTGAGAATGTTTTGTTCGTTTACTAATAGAGTAATGTTATTCATTTCCAGTGGGGTTACAAACACAGTCTAGGTGGCTCTATATGATAGGTGAAATTACTTATTTAATTTCACATTTCATTTAACCTATCATTTAGAGCCACATAGACTATATTTGTAACCCCAATGAGGATGAATAGCATTACTCTTACTAATATACCTTTATTTAATTTCTCTAGTTATGATCAATTTTTCCCAATTTACTACTAGTTGGTGATAATTAAATAAGAGTAAATTATGAAAGTTTTTGACAAAAATTGTTTTTTCAATAAAATTAATTAAGATTTCTTAATTCGTATGAAAAACAAAATCAGTCTATATAAATAGGATGGAGGGAGTAGGACTTATGATATGTTGACTACTAGGATGGTCTTCAACTCCAATGATACATAGCATTTTCAATCTGTAATTATCTGGCTTTGCAATGAATAGCCATGAAGGTTGTGGGTTGCCTATGTATGTTGGCATTTCAAGTTTTAGCTCTTGTTTGGACTCCATTTTAATGAGGTTTTGAGAAAATGTATTTTGGAATAGTAATTTTTTGGAGAATGTGGTTAAAAATTAAGGAAAAATTGGGTTTATGTGTAATCTTATTATGAAACAATGTATGATTGAAAAGAAAAATACATTAAAATTTTAACGGAGCCCAAACGTGGGCTTAGTCTGCTCAAGTTGTTTTAGCCCATGTTTGACGACCATTCTTTCAAAACTCTTTTTTCTACGAACTCATTTCTAATCATACATTCACATAATAACAAATTTTGCACGTAAATTCAAAACTTTTTCTATTTTTTAACTACATATTCTCCAAAAAATCATTATTCAATACTCTATTTTACCCAAATAATAATTATCAAACAGGATCTAAACTCTAAAGTATTATTCTGAGCTCATGACTGGTTGATTTATGCTATCTCGTTTTGTTATGTTTTTGTTTGTAGAACGGATGAACTTTCATTAAACTTGTGATCTGTCTGACGCATTTTAAGAAACAAAATGGCATTAACCTGTTGTTGAGCGTGTTCTTAGGCTGTCTTGACATTTCTCGTTTTGTGTTTTTGAATTGGCTTTGTGCTATATACCATTCTCTATCACTAGAATTTGTAATTTATGGTTTTTAAATATTCATCGTATTATACTCCCTTCGTCCCATAAGGATATATTTGTTTTTATATTCACACAAATTAAGAAAATGTAATTAATATTATTGTATAAGTTTTTCTTATATTTTTCTTCATATAAACTGTACAATGGTGCCGTCACGTGATTCATTGTCAAAAATAATGTCAAAATGATATAAATGTTGTATGATCGTATTTTAAATAAAACAATACTCAAAAAGTAGTAGTCACAAGGGAGAATAACGTAGAATAATTCAATTCTACTGAATTGAATCAAAATGAGACCTCGTAACCAACAAACAAACAAAAAGTAAAATGGCTAGGAAATTTCTGGACCTAAGCCGATGCCCATGTGGACAGTTGTTGGTCCCCAGTCCACTGGGCCTAAAAGCATTTCGATTCCCGATGCCAATAATAATAATAGCAATGGGCGTCAAGATTTAGGATAGACCCGTGGACCCGGATTCGGAATGGCACAAAGTAAACGCCCAACCCACGCCAGACCCGGTTCAGTTGCCATTTCCTTTTTACTGTAGGTATAATAAAGAGACTTAAAAAGTCAAAGCCAAACTTTATTGTCTTTTCCATCATTTAATTTTTACACACTAGAAATTTTCACAAGAATGTGTGTGCCTTGATTGATTCATTTAGTCAAAATCTTCGCATAATTGTGTATTTTGACAGTATAAGATGATTAATGTTGAACTTTTCTCGTAACAAGTAATAAACCGTACTTTAGGACTTGAACGTGCACAACTGGGACTGCGAGTCGAGATTTGATGTTTCCATTTTTTCGCTCTTTGATTGTCCCACCAATTTGGACGGACGAGGACGAGTCCAATTTTTTAGTTGAGAAATAGACGAGGGAACGTAATCCATTTAGTTGTTGTACGAAGCAAATACCTAAACCAGAAGTTATAACCAAATTCCAAAACCTCGGACCATATATTCCACATTTCTACTATATGCTATCTTATCGAGATATAGAGAAACAAAACCTTGGGATTGACTGGAGTTCTCACAAAGAAAATGGAAAATGGAAAAAGAAGTGGGCAAGAAAGAACATCCTCATCATTGAATTGTGATGTCGGATTGGGTTTCAAACCCACTGAATCATCAACATCACAATCCTGCAAAAGGCAAATGGTTTTGCCTCCTTTCAATTTTCACCTTGCTTCTTCTCAAACTACTGCAACCACTAGCTTCACCGGCGGCGGAGGCGACGGCGGCGGGGCCTTAAGCTACGAGCATGTTGGTGCAGTTTTGCCAAAGTCTTATCACAATGTGCCATCTGGTGAAGGCAGCCTTTTTTCTCGCACCTTCTCCCCTTGTGAGAAAATGTTTCTTGTCTAAAATTATGTGAATTTTATTTCGTCCAGGAGGAGTAATGCCAATGTCTGGAAGAGCCCTTTTTACAGCCTCACAGTGGCAAGAACTAGAAAGACAAAATATGATACACGAGTACATGATGGACTCTATCCCTGTTCCTCCTCAACTCCTCCACAAACCCCCATCTCCTGCTACTCTCTCCCAGTCTAACAGTAGAACTAAAACCTTACTTTCTTTTTGATTAAGTTAATGTTGATTGTTTTTATCTTTACTGGTGTATTATACTCTGTGTGTACTGAGAAATTTTCATTCCTGTGCGTAGCGGCATCTGGTTTAGATATGAGGTCTTCTACAAATGGTTCAGATCCAGAGCCGTGGAGGTGCAAGAGAACGGATGGGAAAAAATGGAGGTGTTCGAGGGATGTAGCACCCGATCATAAATACTGCGAGCGCCACGCCAGCAAATACAAACAGCGTTCAAGAAAGCATGTGGAAGTTCAATCCCACAACACCACCAACGATCACATTCTTCAATCCCTTCCTCAGCCCCTTCAAAGCTCTATTTCTCACTTCCCAACTATGGCCTCTGCTACACCATATGATCAAACCAGGTGGGTCAAGGTTTCCAATAATCTCTCTTTGAATCTTAGGACACAAAATGTTAATTTTACTTTTTGTGACACATTACTTTCCTAGTTTTCTAGTATCTTACTCACTTCTTTGTTTTTATCCTAAATTTTAGTTTAATACGGCATGTGGGTCTAGGCTTCACTGTCATTTTTCTAGTATGCAAATAAATGTGGGTCTGATTTATTCATTGGTTCTTGATATTACCCAAGGTGCATTGAGTGGTTCATGAGAAGTGGCTCTATCCCTGTCTCTACTTGTAACCAACAATGGCGGCAAGTGATGCCCACGTCATCAAAATCTGAATGGAGTAAAGACAACAGAGGGGATGACAAGACTGTGTCTGTAGTTCGACCAGAACATGAGGATAAACAAGGTTTCATCAGCACGAATCCGTATGACCTAGATGGTGTTAGTGTCCAAAGATTGGAAAGTCGTCGTCAGCAGAGAAATGGGCAATCTCACAACTCATTTTTCGACCCCAAATTGATATGCTTACATGGGAGCTTAACTAATCTACGGCTCCGTTGTGTCTGTTGGCAATTTATTGATGGTCTTGATGGAATCAGCAATAAGTCCTCTACCTCCGCATTGAACAAGTACTTTTCGCCTTCTCTTACTCTATCAATGTCGGGTATGAATGGGATTGATGAAGATAGTGAAGGTGCACATATGGGAATTATAAGGATGAATGAATCAAATAGAGATGGACCAAATGATGATGAAATTTTAAATGCTGAGTGGCAAAATCCTGTTTCTTGGATGAACTCACCACCTGGTGGACCATTAGGTGAAGCATTGTGTCTTGGGAGTGCTAATACTACCAAGGGGGGTTCAAATTCACCAACCCCTCATGGACATGGCTATAGCAATAGCAGCAGCAACTGTACTAAAAGCCTATTGTGAGGGTGGCAGCCATGCACTCAATTTCATTGGGTGACAGCTATTGCACTAATTTGGTTGCCACTTCAAGGAGACAAATTGCCCTGATGGCTGAGCAACAAATGCTCTTCAGATTTGCTCTTTTTTCTCTTTTACTCGAATTGTTCCCTCTTCACTACTAATTGCACTTGCCATAACTTTCTTCTAGGGGTGTAAGCGGTCCAATTTTTGCGGTTTTTGACAAATTTTCAAACCAAACCGTTTTGACCGGTTTGATAAAACTCAAACCTAAACCAAACCGTTTTGAAAAAAACTCAAACCTAAATCTAACGGTTTGGTCCAGTTTTAAACCGCCGGTTTCACGTATATTTTTTTCCTGTCTAGTATCTACTTTTATGCCATTAATTCAATATATATTTATATCTTACTAGAAATAAATCTAAAGCAAACTAAATATATTTACTATAAATTTAAATACC